GCTGCTGAGGATAAATTTGGATGCCCCTCAATACGAGGAGACATAAAGACAAAGTTGCGCTCGCTGCAGCTGCTGCTGCGGCAGCAGCAGCTGCTGCTGCTGCTGCTGCTGCTTTTGCAGCAGCTGCTGCAGCAGCAGCAGCTCTATAACTATAGAGGAAACAGATACACTGTCTCCTGTGCATGCATGTCATTGGGGCTTTACTTACTTGGGTGTAGACAGTAAAGCAGCAGCAGCAGCAGCAGCAGCAGCAACAGTATCTGCTGCTGCTGCTGCTGCTGCTGCTGCTGCTGCATGCGTCTAGCTGCAGCAGCAGCAACTGCGCTGCTGTATAAATTTGTATTTTCTAATCGGAGACAAAAGGAGACAGTTTCTTTTACTAGTTATCCTGTTCAAGCAGCAGCAGCTCTTGTTCCTGTTCTTGCTGCTGCTGCTGCTGCTGCTGCTGCTGCTGCTGCTGCTGCTGCTTCATGGCAGCAGCAGCAGCAGCACCTTTTGGTATTAGAAACCGCCACAAGTCTCGGCATGTAAATATACCCTCTAGCTGGCCCCTGAAGGAGACAACACACACACACCACACACACAAATATACAGCTAGCTAGCTAGCTAGCTAGCTAGATAGATAGACAGCTAGCTAGCTAGACAGACAGACAGACAGATAGACAGGGAGATAGATAGACAGACAGCTAGCTAGCTAGACAGCTAGCTACCTGGACATATAGCTAGCTAGCTAGACAGTATTAAATAAATAAAAAAACAAAAATAAATAAAAATAAATGGAGACAGCAATACAATAAGTATATAAATAAATAAAAATAAATAAACAAAAAAATTAATAAATAAAAATAAATAAAAATAAATGTATATGATGCTGACTGCTCTGAGAGGAGACAAAAAAAAACAAAAATAAAAAGCGAAAATAAATAAAAATAAATGGAGACAGCAAGACAACACGTATACAAATAAAACTAAATAAATAAAAATAAATAAAAATAAATAAAAATAAATAAAAATAAATAAAAATAAATAAAAATAAATAAAATAAATGAAGCTGACTGTTCTGAGAGGAAGAGAACTTTTTGGAGACAAAAAAAAAATAAAAAAATAAAAACAAAGGAGACAGCAAGACAATAAGTAAAGATAAACAA